TTTGATTAGCCTAAATACCAAATCATTTGTAACATCCATCACAGTTTAGTCCCTCTGAATGACATTACAAGATGATCCTAGATTGATGCTATATTTTGACCCCTTCTAATCCCACACTCCCAATGTATTTTGCTTCACTCTTCGATTGGTTGAGCCTCACTTCGATTGGCTGAGCCTCACTTCGATTGGTTGAGCCTGTCCCGCCGGATGCCAGAGCATGTCCTATTTGTGTTTGTGGGTCTGTCAACATTTCTATATGGGGGGGGGGGGGGGGGGGGGGCTGAGTGTCATTGGCATGGCAGCCATGGTGACGTGTTGCCGTGAGTGATCAGGCAGATTGTGCAGAAAGTGAATGGATGCAGTCTGACCCATGCTGTCTGCATGTCTTTCCTATACCGTGTATGGAGGGATGCGCTTGCCTTGTGGCAGCATGGGCCTACCCTGTACCAGCCATGCCCTGTCAGTAACGGTTAGACCTTCTCTCTCTCCTGCCCACCCCGCCTGGCATTATAAGGGGCAAACACAGGTGGGTTTGGAGAAGCAGAAGCACTTTACCCCCCAACCCCCAAGCTTGAGTCCCATTCTGTCCCAGGTACACAGCTTCTCACTCTTACACACAAACAGGTAAAACACACACAGCACTTCTCACTCACAGACACTCACTGTGGATAGACATGGTCCCCTATACAAAGGTCTGGGATAAGGGGAAAACTGACCTTAGATCAGTCACTAGGGGCAACTTGATCCTACATTAAGACAAGCACAGGACATCAGGGGATGCCATATCAAGGGGTACACAGTTACACAATATTGATTATATTTAAATAGACATTGAGAAAATGAACACGACTTATAACATACAAGATATATAAACTTCCTTTATATGCATATTAATTGTTATAACAGTCTACACCCTTACTAAAGATCAGGGAATCAGGGAATCCTATACTTTCAGTTGCTAAACAGAGCATTAGTGGGCTGATGTTGACTAGTACAGCCAGACCAGCTGTGAAGACCTGTCCCTGTTCTGTTCCAGATGAGATGAACGACCACCAGAACACTCTGTCCTACGTTCTCATCAACCCCCCTCCAGACACCATGCTGGAGCTCAATGACATTGTGTAAGTACCGGCAGGAGAGGTGGGATCAGAGGCCTCTTTATCTCTTTTCAGTATCTGTAATGTACCAAGCTGTGTCGACTGTACACTAGCCTGGGTATGATATACAATATGGCTGCTGATTGGGCACAGCAGTCTATTTTGGACAGTATAGTTCTCTAGTAGTGTGTTCTAGAAAGATCTGGATGTGACCCAATAGAGTTGGTTTTGCCCTCGTCTCTCTCCAGGTACATCATCCGGTCCGACCCGCTGGCGGGCCCTAACGTGCCAGAGGATCCGGCTCAAGGGCAGAGCAGCGGCGGTGGCCGGATGAGGCAGGACTTTGGCACTGAGACCAGGGACGAGACCCACCTCTGAAACCCCCTCGCCTCACCGCACTCTGGTCGCCAACCCCCCCAGGCACGATACAGAGACCCCCCCCCCACCCCCAAGCCCTCGCCCACCATTCAACCTTACCTTACTACCCCTACCTTCTCAGACTTACAGAGAGACACGTTTCACTGAGCTGCTATGGAAGGATGCATGAAGAGTGCCTCATCATTAACTAACTACTTCACCCCTTAGAAAGCATCAGACAGACACCACACTCTTTGCAAAAGATAAAACAGAAACAATGCACCAGTCACTGGAGGGAGAGAGAGACAGACTGGAAGCAAGACCCCTTCTGGACAAGTAACCAACCAGAAGAGAGGATGATGTCAGTGGTCCTGTGACACGCTTTATTTTGAGCTCGTCGGCACGCTTGGTGGGTGGAGCTCGCACTTTAGGACCAATGGAAGGGTGTCACAAGAGCAAACTCTGCCCATATGGTATGCTGGCGAGCTAGACCAAGCACACCTGGTGTGTGTGTGTGGACTGTGTGGTTATCAGTTACAATAGCAAGTCATGTACGGAGTTTGGGACAGAAATGGTTATTCCTTGTCAAGATGTTATGGCAGTATCCTTTCACATCAATCATGAAAGTACATGAGCACTTGTTAAATTACATTGACTTTCGTTTTTGATTTTATTATTTTCCCTAGCAAAAATGTAGAAAACAACGCATCTTTTACTGCTACTTCTGGATGTTTCCCCATTTTGTTGTATATCATGCCGTTTCTTATATAAAAAGTCTAGAATCGTCAAATGGATTGAAGAACCGATATAAATTCTGCCATGCCCCTATGTCGCTCTATTTGTGCCATATCATATCTGGATATTTATTTTATACCTGTCAGTGTTCTACTTAAGTCAATGTTCAATCATTCCAGATTTCTGACAGTATTTAATCAGTTACAGTACATTACAGTAAAATGATCCTGAGTTTCAAAGCGGTTTACAGTGGAACACCTATGTTAATACTTGTTATGAGTACTTGTTTTGCACAATAAGAGACAGGCACAGTTAAAGTGATAGTTCACTACAAAATTAAAGTTTGTTATATGTTTTCAGATGTCAAAAGTAATCTAATGTAAAGATGAGTTGGAGTTAACTATCACTTGAAGTCTGTTATTATGGCCAGTACATGGGCTTGGAGTATAGTGTTGCAAGCTGGATTCCAAAATGTCCTTTCACTTATACAGGAATCACTTGTACAGTAAACGTAGTATTGTCTGTGCTTTAGATATTTAATCATTATTTAAGATGTATTTCCTTTTTTATACTATTGGACTAATATGTGTGGTTTTATCATTGTAAATACTCAGACTTTTAATCTTCATTGTTTGGTTAAAAAAAAGAAAAGAATGTGGGCCGTTATTACAGAAATTTAAAAAAGAAGGACTTGAAATAGTTTTGCACTAAGCTCTGTGGTTGTTAAGAGCGTTATAGCATGACCCTTTATACCGAAACTTAAACTATACAATAAAACAGACTACAGTATTCACAGCACAGTATGAGGCAGTCTCCATACAGTCAGAGAGAGAGGTGTTATAAACACAATATCAACTTTGTTAAGTAAGTTTGCAGAGTTTAAGGATCATTGTCATTGTAAACGATACAATATACTTTGTCCATTTAGATGGGAATTAATTTGTGAAGCTAGCATACTGAAACAGCCTCTCCATAACAGTACGCCATAATACATTCAATATGGAAAACACTGAAAATATATTTTGATATGTGCCATTACCGTTCGTTTGTTATAAAAATGTAACAGGTAGTTCTAAAGGAACATGCATTTCCTGACTGCATGAATACGATTAGGTTGTTGGGAAAGTTAGTTAAGATGGAGGATAAAGTCAAGCTTTGACATTCTGGCCTGAGCAACATTGATACTTTGATATCAGGACTGAAGTTCTTTAAGGTGTATTTCTGGCTGTGTTTGAGATGTATAGTATTACAACATTTTCCATTGAATTACTGTAAGTGTAGATAGATTATGTCCGATTCTAGCCAGGCCCCCAGAAGGGCAGTTTACATATCTGGAGGACTAAAGAAGGGTACAGTTGATCACCATGGAAACAATGAGCATGTACAATCCCATCAGCACCATAGAATTAGAATCCATAGAAAATCTGTTTGTGGTTTTTGAAGTTAATACTGTAGTATAGAAAGGGGCATGCAAACACAAAAAGCATGTTTTGAAATAAAGCTTGCCAAACAAGATATTTTTTCCTACAGTTAAATTGCCGTATCACAACTAGAAAATTAATCTGATGATAATATTCCCCGCTTGTTATTTGTAAGCATATCATTTGATATCTTTATATGGGACCATGCATGTCCTCCAGACTTATCAAAAACCTCTGTTTACTTTATCATGTTTTTAATTAATTGTGAAAAGGTTTGATCCATTTTGTACTATTTCCTATTATGAAGTCTGTGTACTTCTCTACCATGATGTAAAATATGAAACAATAAATGCTACATGCAGCTGGGAACATTGAAATGGATAAACACTCCTGTCGTTTGTTTAATCACACAGAGAAATGATCACTCAGAAATAGCATTGAGATAGCATTGCTGTTAATCATTATTTAGAGGATGGTGGGGTTGGTCACCCTCTGTCAGGGTAACACATGTACAGTGCTGTTTTTACTTCTCCTATTGGTTTATGTTTCATAACAGACAATACCCTGTGTACATTGTCAACATTAACTGAAAATTAAGAGTGAATCAAAGATCACAATCCTATCATATAAAAAATACAACATAGTGCTATAAAATCCTTAAATCCACGGCCTGTCCCTTCCTCTGTTTGCTGAGGTGTGTCTATTTCCACCTGTCTCTGGTCCATTGTCCCTGGTTCTGAACCACCTCCTGCAGCAAGTCAATAAAGGTGTATTCATTATCCAGCAGCAGGTTGTTGTCACTGGGAGAGCCACCACTAGGGGGAGAGCCACCACTAGGGGGAGAGCCACCACTAGGGGGAGAGCCACCACTAGGGGGAGAGCCACCACTAGGGGGAGAGCCACCACTAGGGGGAGAGCCACCACTAGGGGGAGAGCCACTACACTCTCTTCTCTCCCTGCTGCGACTCTTTGGCACCCCCTTTGGGTTGGATTTGCCTCTACTCTGTCTGGGAGCTCTGTCTCAAGTGGGGTTTCTTGAGGTTTGTTCTCCAATTCTTCAGGCTTTTCTGGAGCAGGACAGATCGGGGTCTGGGTAATGACCTCACTGGAAAGGGACTGGGTAACATTGACCAAGCTTGACAAGTTTGACAGGGACACAATTGGCTCAGTTGGGGGTTCAGCATTGTCCAGTTGGACTACGTTATGATCTGGAGAGGCTGTTTCAGAGCCCAGTCTACTCTTGATCTCCTCAACAGTGTTACCCCTTCCCTCTTCTGGGGGTGAAGATTCCAGAACAATGTGTGAAGATGAAGATTCTAGAACACTGACAGGCGTGTCGCCCCCCCAGAGAAACATCAGCTGAAATAGTATCCATTTCACCTTCGACCTCTCAGTCAGGATCAGGTGATTGGTTGTCTGCTTCGACTTCGATCTCTTGGTCAGGGTCGGGGTCGTCTGATTGGTTCGCTCTTTCATCTTTGACCTCTTGGACAGGGTCAAGGTTAGGGTCAGGGAAGAGACTGAGCCCCCACTGTGTGATGTTGTGGGCCTGCCACTGAACCAAGGTGGGGAGCCATGTGGAGACCCTCACCATGGCCTTCTGTGACCTTTGACCTTTGTGGTGGTCTGGGTTACATTTGGCCGAGTCAGCGCCAATGGTCAGATAAGGTATGGTCTCTGTATCCTCAGAGGCTTGGGTTTTATTTATTCTGCCGTTTTGTAGATTCTCAGTCCTTTCAGCATCTCTCATGTTCCTGACTCGCTACGCCGGTAAGATAATATTTTCCTGTCAGGTTTCTATTCCCCACCTGGGACTCATTACATCCTGGCTCTTTGTTCCCTACCTCTGACGTCTTCATATCTTCATACAGGTTTTCTCCATCAGCCCCCACCCTGTGTAGTTCTCCACCCTGTGAAGATCTCCATCAGTCTCTACCACCATTGTGTAGTTCTCCATCAGTCTCCACCCTGTGTAGTTCTCCATCAGTCTCCACTCTGTGTAGTTCTCCATCAGTCTCCACCACCACTGTGTAGTTCTCCATCAGTCTCCACACTGTGTAGTTCTCCATCAGTCACCACTCTGTGAAGTTCTCCATCAGTCTCCACCCTGTGCAGTTCTCCATCAGTCTCCACTCTGTGTAGTCCTCCATCAGTCTCCACCACTACTCAGTGTAGTTCTCCATCCGTCTTCAACACCACTCTGTGTAGTTCTCCAGTCTCCACCCCCCTGTGTAATTCTCCATCAGTCACCACTGTGTAGTTCTCCATCAGTCACATCTCTGTGTAGTTCTCCGTCAGTCTCCACCCTGTGTAGTTCTTCATCAGTCTCCACCCTGTGTAGTTCTCCATCAGTCTCCACCCTGTGTAGTTCTCCGTCAGTCTCCACCCTGTGTAGTTCTCCATCAGTCTCCACCCTGTGTAGTTCTCCATCAGTCTCCACCCTGTGTAGTCCTCCATCAGTCTCCACCACTACTCTGTGTAGTCCTCCATCAGTCTCCACCACTACTCTGTGTAGTCCTCCATCAGTCTCCACCACTACTCTGTGTAGTCCTCCATCAGTCTCCACCACTACTCAGTGTAGTTCTCCATCAGTCTTCAACACCACTCTGTGTAGTTCTCCATTCTCCACCCCCCTGTGTAATTCTCCATCAGTCACATCTCTGTGTAGTTCTCCATCAGTCACCACTCTGTGTAGTTCTCCATCAGTCTCCACCCTGTGTAGTTCTCCATCAGTCTCCATCACCACTCTGTGTACTTCCCTCCCTGCTCTACAGAAGTGGGTAGTGGAGAGGACAGCATCAGCAGACTTGGCTCTGTTTCCAGATCAGTGAGTCTTCGTAGCAAGCTCCGGGTCCCAGTTAGACATGACAGAATCCACCTCTCTGTGGAGGGTGATGGTTGATCTGTCAGTCTGCTCTGTGGATCCCTGTCCCTCTTCTTCTACTCCCTCCCGACTGGCCTTCACCTGTTTGGCCTCCCGTTTCGTCCTCCAGACTACAGCCAGGGTACACACTACACACTAGAAGAGAAGCCAAGCCTCTAGAGTTAGTGTGGAGGATGATGTACTACATACTACAATTCTATTACAATAGTGTTGTGTGTATAGCCCTATAGTACAGACTGAGACACATCCTTTTTCTGATGGGATTCATATACCGTACCATAGAGATTTATATAATACTATTGTATTCTATTTTATGTACAACATTGCTCCAGAACTTTTTTTTTAATCTTATTTTTTTTGTAGGGGGTAGATCATCTTTAATATTGTAGATAGATTCTATCTTCCATCAATGTAATTGTCTGAATCACTTCCAATCCCCCATACGTTTTTTTTTGCAAATATATATATATATATATATATATATACACACACACATATACATACATATACACATACATACGTACAAATCCATACATACACATCATAAAAATAAAAATAAATATTTCCTTTATTACTTTCCAACCCCACCACCCCTCCCCTAATTGGAGTAAACTAGTGAACAACAACGCTTAGGCCTCTACTTCCAGCTTATACATACTATAAACATTTTACGGACACAGTCAAATTTACAATAATTCCATTTTTTTTGTTTTTACTCCTGAACTTCCTCTACCCTCAACCTCTCCGATCATTTTCCTGATGTCCATCCGGTTTGCTTCTATATGCCATATCCCCCAAACTGTGCTCTTTCACAAAAGTTCTCAACCTATATACTTATTATGGACACAGTATGTTTTACATTAGTTATTTTGTTGTTATTAGTTATTATTAGTCCCAACCTTCAGCTCCATTCAATCCCTCACATCTATCTCTTAACACCATCCATATTGGATTTCTACTTGCCATATATTTCTCAACAGTACTGTGATGTTTCACAAAAGTTCTGAACCCTTCTATTCTCATTGTTTCTACAGATGGTAAATTGAAAATAAACATTTTTGCTAAAATTATTATTATATTATTGATTGACTATGACTTTTCAGATCACCCAGTAGAGCTATCTGCAGGGTTAGCTCCAGGTAAATATTGCAATCCTTCAGCCATTCCTGGACCTGTGACCAAAAACAAGCTACAAATGGACAGTACCAAAACAAATGATCTAATGATTATGTCTCTTCGCAGCAAAATCTGCAGAGCTGGGAAGATTGTATCCCCCATATAAATAACATTCTATTGGTTGCAAGAATTTTGTATAATCATTTAAATTGAACAATTCTATGTTTTGAATCCGGCGTCATTTCGCGTATCAGTTCATTAATCATTTGCCAGGGAATCGGTCCGTCAAAAATCTCTTCCCAACTATTATGCAATCTATACGGGACAGCTGTCTATCCTTTGGTCCTTAAATGAAACTGGTATACTTTTTTATTTATCACAATTTTCTTTAACCAATTATGTTCTTTAATGCCGACAGACATGTTCCTTACTTTTCCCCCCTTCCACTTTCCTCTTCCATTTTTGCGGTAATGCTGCAATTATTTGGTGTAATTTTGGGTACATAACTCCACCAGTCCTACCGATGATATCATTTACCAAGATTATACCTTTTTTAAACATGTTTTCTAAAAATAATAATACCCATCACTGCTATGAGCGTGGGGACAGTGATGGACACTGCTGGGGACTGTGTGTGTGGTGGCTGTGGCATTGGGCTCACACACTCAGAAACGTTCCACACAGGCTCGGTCTCCAGCAGAGGAATTCTACAGACCTGAACACACACAATAGAGACATCTTGAACATCTGTGTGGGTAGTGAGGGGTAGTCATTTTGTGGGTGACTCAAGCCAGATTGGTTAGTTTCCCTGATTACAATTTACATAGCATCTGTTGAGATTGTTTTCTTAATTTTAAAGTAGAATTGAAAATGATATTAAACTGAATAAAAGCTCATTTTTGCAAAAGCAATACACTCAATATGATCACAGTACAACACTTACTCCCCACCCTAACCCCAACCCACAAATGACTAGAAAAAACAACCTCTGACAGGAGCAGTCCCAGGGGTTCCCATCCATTCTGATCCTTGTGGAGGAGAGGGAGAGTGGGAGGAGGACCTGGGGGCAAACCCTGGTCAGCTTGTTACCAGAGAGGTCCAAGCAGGCCAAACGGGCCAGAGCTAAAACTATCAGGACAGATGGTCTGGTTCATATTACTGGCCAGGTTCAGTCTAGTTAGACCTGTAAATCTGCGAAACGTGCCCTCCTCCACAACCTCTATGGGGTTCTGAATGAGGGTGAGGTTTTGGAGGGTGGCTGGTTGGCTGAACCAGGCTGGGCTGAGCTGGGAGAGGGAGTTGAGGTCCAGTCTGAAGGTGTTGAGGTTGTGGAAGGAACGGAGAGCTCCGGATGGGATGCCAGTGATGCCAGCGTTGTTGATGGTGAGGTGGGTCACAGAGCCCAGGTTGTAACTGTGGAACACAGTGGCGTTGATCTCTCCCACGTTACTCACAAAGAGCACCAGGGAGGACAGGCCAGCAGGGTAACCTGAGATAAGAGACAGTGTGTGGTGGTGTGACATATTTATAACTATATTCTATAGACTTAACATAAGTAGTGAATTAATCAAGTTTGAACAGACTAACAAAATATACATTACTATATACAGCAGTAAGAAAGACAGACAGCTTTGGATGTTCTGGTTTGTGTATGAAATCCATGCTTTTATAAAAAATAAAATAAAAACTCTTACTTTGTGGAATCTCTTGACAGATATAAATCTGTACATCGTGAGTACAGGTGTTGGAATGCACCAAGCCCAGGACCTCACACAGCTAGCCAGCAGCAGCAGACACTGGGGAGATACACATTGTTACGTTACAGCCTTATTTCTAAAATTGAATAAATTATTTTTTCCCCCCTCACCAATCTACACACAATACCCCATAATGACAAAGTAAAAACAGGTTTTTAGAAATATTACATTTATATAAGTATTCAGACCCTTTACTCAGTACTTTGTTGAAGGACCTTTGGCAGCGATTACAGCATCGAGTCTTCTTGGGTATGACGCTAGAAGCTTGGCACACCTGTATTTGTCTCTGCAGATCCTCTCAAGCTCTGTCAGGTTGGATGGGGAGTGTTGCTGTACAGCTATTTTCAGGTCTCTCCAGAGATTTCCGATTGGGTTCAAGTCCGGGCTCTGGCTGGCCCACTCAAGGACATTCAGAGACTTGTCCTAAAGCCACTCCTGCATCGTCTTGGCTGTGTGCTTAGGGTTGTTGTCCTGTTGGAAGGTGAACCTTCGACCCAGTCTGAGGTCCTGAGCGCTCTGGAGCAGGTTTTCAAGGATCTCTCTGTACTTTGCTCTGTTCATCTTTCCCTCGATCCTGACTAGTCTCCCAGTCCTTGCCGCTGAAAAACATCCCCACAGCATGATGCTGCCAACCACCATGCATCTCCGTAGGGATGGTGCCAGGTTTCCTCCAGACGTGACGCTTCGCATTCAGGCCAAAGTGTTCAATCTTGGTTTTATCAGACCAGAGAATCTTGTTTCTGTTTCTGGCCGATTGCGGCCAGCTCTAGGAAGAGTCTTGGTGGTTCCAAACATCTTCCATTTAAGTATGATGGAGGCCACTGTGTTCTTGGGGACCTTCAATGCTGCAGACACTTTTTGGTACCCTTCCCCAGATCTGTGCCTCTACACAATCCTGTCTCTGAATCTGCGGACAATTCCTTTGACCTCCTGGCTTGGTTCTTGCTCTGACATGCACTGTCAACTGTGGGACCTTATATAGACAGGTGTGTGCCTTTCCAAATCATGTCAAATCAATTGAATTTACCACAGGTGGACTCCAATCAAGTTGGAGAAACATCAAGGATGATCAACGGAAACAGGATGCATCCGAGCTCAATTTCGAGTCTCATAGCAAAGGGTCTGAATGCTTACGTAAATAAGGTATTTCTTTCCTTTTTTTGCAAAAAATTCTAAAAACCTGTTTCGCTTTGTCATTATGGGGTATTGTGTGTAGATTAATGAGGGAAAACAATAATTGCATCAATTTTAGAATAAGGCTATGACTTAACAAAATGTGGAAAAAGGGAAGGGGTCTGAATACTTTCCGAATGCACTGTTTGAAAGAGTAAGTTGGTGACATAGCACACTTTCAATTCAAATACATGGCTGACAACCATCCAAACATGGAACAGGTAGAATACTCACCATTCACGATGATCTACCTCAGAATGTAGCCTTGTATGCCAGACTCCTTTGTCCTACTAAAATATGTAGTATTTAGACACAGAACTGATGAGTAATTCTACCACAGATGGGTCCAGAAAGCTGAGAATTTGACAGCATCTGCTGTTGTGTGAATACCTGACACTCAGAGAGCCAACTGAAGAGAATAAATTACCTGTTGCCATGGTAGGTGTATGCATGTCTGCAGCAGTTTACCATGGTTATGAGTGCTGGGTGCACACCGCTGTTACAGTTGAGTGGTGGAAGGAGAGACAGTTAACACCAGGGAGGCCTGGAGGATAGCAGCACATCCACCAACTCCCTTGTAGTGACGTGATCTGGGTTGAACTTCAATTATATTCGGTCTTTTTGGCCCAGCACCGGTGGAACAAGTTTGGAACACCTAAATGATTTAAGTGAAACATGCCTTCAATAATCCCTAGGTAACTGGTGTCGGGTGAAAACAAGGCATGCAAAACTATACTGTGAATATGCAAGTGTCTCTGAATAGTCGAGAACATACACATGTATGCTAAACTAACAAACAGTTGGTGATGTAGGCAGAAACACAGAAAGTAAAACGTGACCAGACAAATGAGAACAAAAAAGATTAAAATGTGTTTTAATAACTTGAAAAATTTATTCGGTTTCAGTGCTTCCATTTAAAAAATAAATAGATGGTATGATCTCAAAGAAATACTAAAATGAACAGGGATGGGAAGTACACACAGTAACATTAATAGTGATTAATGACAATATAATATTTTAGTAGACATAAAAACACACTAACATACAAAAGATCTATAAAAAAATAAATCAAATGCAGAAAATTATAATCAAGTACTCTATATATTTTTGGAGACTGCAGTATTAGTGAAGGAAGGACGTCATTTTAGTTGACTGGTCACACAGTCTTAAATCTTTGTGTTTGGTTTTAGTTCAGGAAAGGTAGCGTTTCTCAGTTTGGAGTGCACAGGAGTTCAGTTATGAAAAATATACCATCTTCCTTCTGCCATACATTTCGAATACCCTTTTAAAGTTGAATTCCACTTTTTGTAATCAGTGAGTAAAGTGCACGTGCAACACTTACAGTTGTTCTTGAGGCCAACATACGGTATCTAATAATAAGCACTTGGACAGAGAGAGAAAATAAAAATGGTGGCAGTGTTTGTCGACACCTTTCAGGAATGTTCTTTAATGTCGGTCGGTCAGGTAAATAAATAGACCGCAGTCCCACAGAGTGACCCATTATGAATATATTAAATACTGTCATTCAAACCGGTTACAGCAGAACACACTCTTCAGAACAAGAGCATGCAGCTCTCTGGGGAGGGGAAAAGCTGGCTTAGCAGGGTTGGGGTCAATTCAGTCAATTCAGGAAGTAAAAGAAAATACAATTTCATTTTACTTCCTGAATTGACTGAATTGAAATGGAATTGACCCCACCCCTGGTGGGTAGCCGATCACTCATGGGGTAGGGAGGGGGGTACATTGCATGATAAAAGCCTTTGAAACGTGATCATGAGTGGAGTGCATCTTTATACAGGACATAATGCCCAGTGGAGAGAAACACGACTAGCTCTAACTAGCTCACGTACATCATACCGATTCATGTAATTTTATGATGAAAAACACATCAGCGCCGGTTACTGTATAACCAACCACACTGCTCCATTTAAAAAAGAACACAAAAACAAAACAAAAAAATAAGCATCATGACATTTTCGTAGAGTACCAAAGCCTATTATTCATTGTCCGTCTTCACCCCCCCGTTTTCAAAAGGGCTAAAGGAGCGTTGAAGAGTAGTTTAAAACGATCATCACTATTCTATACACCAGATAGACAGTGCTACGACGGGCTGCGCTGCGTAAGTTTAGAAGCGTTTGAATAAATAGACAGTTGATAGTAGCACTATGATGCATGAGGAAGGCCAGCGGATGGTCTGGGAGGAGCCCAGTAACAAACAGGAGACAGTTCAGAGCAGCACATTGGACAGAGAGAGAACTGGAGAGGCAAAGTTGGCGATGCTTGTCTATTAGCTAGTTATACTGGAGATTGTTTTGTTGCAGAACACCGGTCCTAGAAGTCCTAAAAGAATGTAAGCTGGTCACCTCAGGCCAGATTTTGAAGTGGAGAGATTGAGAACCACCCACCCCCTCCAACAACAGAGAAGAGGAGGGGTGGGGGGGGGGGGGTCAATGGGTCATAGTATGAGAGAACCACCCACCCCCTTCAACAAGAGAGAGGCGGTGGGGATCAATGGATCATAGTGTGAGAGAACCACCCACCCCCTTCAACAAGAGAGAGGCGGTGGGGATCAATGGATCATAGTGTGAGAGAACCACCCACCCCCTTCAACAAGAGAGAGGCGGTGGGGATCAATGGGTCATAGTGTGAGAGAACCACCCACCCCCTCCAACAAGAGAGAGGCGGTGGGGATCAATGGGTCATAGTGTGAGAGAACCACCCACCCCCTCCAACAAGAGCGAGGCGGTGGGGATCAATGGGTCATAGTGTGAGAGAACCACCCACCCCCTCAAATGGACTCCAACAACAGAGAGGGAGGCCGTAGTGTATGTTGCTGCAGCAGAGCTCAACCATTTCAGTGCCAAACCAATAAATACTTCAAGTAAAAAGAAATCCATCACATGAAAAAAATGACACATGCTTCTCTTAAAAGTCTTTAGAAAAACAGAACCGAATGAATCCATCGATGAACACCCTGAACAGAACACATTGAGATCCCGACAGATGACAATGTCACTGGCAGGCCACCAGTACATGTCTCCATGCATACATGCCCCCACATTAGTGTGAACTGAAGGAGCCACGTGTCTGGCCATCCCTGATAGAGGGAGTTTATTGGCGGTGGACATCAATGCAGTCTATCCAGCAGAGCAAAGTGGAATGGAACCTAGGATGGGTCCCCCGGGGTGAGTTCCAGGTGCCTCCACTGATTATTTCCCGCTCTTCTTTGGCACAGTGGTTCTCTTGGCCTGCCACAGATGGTTGTGGATGGTGATGGCATCTATGCTGACAGACACAGTCTTGGCGGGGATGACAGTGAACTGCTTGCGGTCCGAGCTGTACTTGTAAAGCTTGTCGATCATCTTCTTGCTAATGCTCTTGGGGCCCGTGCCGGTCAGCTTGAGGATCTCCTCAGTGTCTGGGAAGTAGGAGTAGACCCCCCGGAACTGGCAGCCCCCATCCCTGAAAAGGATCATCAGGTGGTGGGCATCTACCCTCTCCAGCTCCTGGGATCAGATAGAGGGGGTTGGAGGGAGGGATCAGATAGAGGGGGTTGGAGGGAGGGATCAGATAGAGGGGGAGGGAGGGAGGGGAGGGGGATCAGATAGAGGGGGAGGGAGGGAGGGATCAGATAGAGGGGGAGGGAGGGAGGGATCAGATAGAGGGGGAGGAGGAGGAGGGATCAGATAGAGGGGGAGGAGGAGGAGGGATCAGATAGAGGGGGTTGAAGGGAGGGGATCAGATAGAGGGGGTGAGGGAAGGGAGGGATCAGATAGAGGGGGAGGAGGAGGAGGAATCAGATAGAGGGGGGAGGGAGGGAGGGGAATCAGATAGAGGGGGAGGGAGGGAGGGATCAGATAGAGGGGTTGGAGGGAGGGATCAGATAGAGGGGGGGAGGAGGGAAGAAGAGGGGGAGGAGGGATCAGATAGAGGGGGAGGGCAGAAGGGGAGGGAGGAGGATCAGATAGAGGGGGTTGGAGGGAGGGATCGATAGAGGGGGGGAGGGAGTCAGATAGAGGGGAGGAGATAGAGGGGGGAGGAGGAGGGATCAGATAGAGGGGGAGGAGGGAGGGATCAGATAGAGGGGGTGGAGGGAGGGATCAGATAGAGGGGGAGGGATCAGATAGAGGAGGGGGAGGGAGGGAATCAGATGAGGGGGTGAGGGAGGGAGGGATCAGATAGAGGGGGAGGGAGGGAGGGATCAGATAGAGGGGGGGAGGTCGAGGGAGGGAGGGGGAGGGATCAGATAGAGGGGGAGGAGGGAGGGATCAGATAGAGGGGTGGGAGGGGGAGGGAGGGATCAGATAGAGGGGGAGGAGGGAGGGATCAGATAGAGGGGGGGGGGATGAGAGGGGGAGGGAAGATAGAGGGGGGAGGAGGGAGGGATCAGATAGAGGGGAGTGGAGGGAGGGATCAGATAGAGGGGGAGGGAGGATCAGATAGAGGGGGTTAGGGGGGAGGGAATCAGATAGAGGGGGGGAGGGAGGGATCAGATAGAGGGGGGGAGGGATCATGGGGGGAGGGATCAGATAGAGGGGGGAGGGGATCAAGGGGGAGTCAGGATCAGAAGAGGGGGGGGAGGATCAGATAGAGGGGGGGGGATCGTGGGGGGGGGATCAGATAGAGGGGGGGGAGGGAGGGGGGATCAGATAGAGGGGGGGGAGGGAGGGATCAGATAGAGGGGGTTGGAGGGAGGGATCAGATAGAGGGGGTTGGAGGGGGTCGATAGAGGGGTGGGAGGGATCAGATAGAGGGGGTTGGAGGGAGGGATCAGATAGAGGGGGTTGGAGGGAGGGATCAGATAGAGGGGGTTGGAGGGAGGGATCAGATAGAGGGGGTTGGAGGGAGGGATCAGATAGAGGGGGTTGGAGGGAGGGATCAGATAGAGGGGGAGGGAGGGAGGGATCAGATAGAGGGGGTTGGAGGGAGGGATCAGATAGAGGGGGAGGGAGGGATCAGATGGGGAGGGGGTTAGTATGGCTGACAAATATCTTGAGAAGCAGTCTCACGTTCTAGGCAATTTGATCATCACAGGTACAGTGATGTCCAGATGTCATGTGTAAGGCCTGGAGTTTTCCCTTCCTAGCCACCTGACTTGACCCGCTAAGACTAGACATATAGACTAAAACTAAGGTTTCAGTCAGGGACAACTGTGTGTTTAGGACCAGAACTTGCTGTGCTACAGCTGGATACTATTGAGCTGAGCAGTTCATTCTGGCCCACTAATGTGTCCTACATGTTACTGTGCTCATTTACACAGCACAGAGTTAAAAATGACTGAACTAGAACAAAAGGACTACGCTCTCTGGAGTTTGGACTTTAGGAGGTGTGTGGTGTTACTCTGTAGCTCAGCTGGTAGAGCACGGCGCTTGTAACGCCAAGGTAGTGGGTTCGATCCCCGGGACCACCCATACACAAAAAATGTATGCACGCATGACTGTAAGTCGCTTTGGATAAAAGCGTCTGCTAAATGGCATATTATATTATTATTATTATATATTATTACCACTGGTTCTGGAGTGCTTGTTGATAGCATTTAACAGTACAACTTGTGGAATAGGCTGGAATGCGGTTTTAACCAATCAGCATTCAGGATTAGAACCACCCCGTTGCATAATTAAGCAATAAGGCCCGAGGGGGTGTGGTATATGGCCAATATACCACGGCTAAGGGCTGTTCTTATGCACGACGCAACACAGAGTGCCTGGATACAGCCCTTAGCCGTGGTATGTTGGCCATATACCACAAACCTCCAAGGTGCCTTATTGCTATTATAAACTGGTTACAAATGTAATTAGAGCAGTAAAAATAAATGTTTTGTCATACCCATGGTATACAGTCTGATACACCACGGCTGTCAGCCAACCAGCATTCAGGGCTCGAACCACCCAGTTTATAATAGCATTTAACAGTAAGATGATACTTCACCTCTAGAAGGGTGTTCTTCTGGGGTTCGTTGACTTTGCCGGCGAGGCAGCAGTGAGAAATGGCGTTGAAGATGATTGGCTTGTTGGACTTGGAACTGGGCTCCTTGAACAGCTTGGGACCTGAGGACAGTGGAACGACAGGTCTTAACATTAGATGCTAACATACATGAGGAGGAAGTGAGCAGAGCAATGTTTAATGGGAACATTATAGGGGCGTGTAATAGCTTGATATGGTAAAGGTTGTGACTTGTACTGACCAGTGTATTCTGCCATGGAAGTGATGGAAGACGCAGTGGATCCGTTGTCCCAGTCTCTCTCAGTGTTCCGACTGGCGTTCCGACTCAGGCCTGGGAACGACTCCACAAACTCACCCCTGGCAACGGATAGCAGAGAAAACAAAAAGATGGTTTCAAAATGTCAGAGATAGAAAACACACACTGACATACATTACACACAAACCGAAACTCACAACCACCCACATATCCGGGTTACTTACCGTTGGGAGCATGGCCCTCCACAGTTGAAGCTGTCTGCCTCGGTTGTGGCAGCGGAGGCCAGGGACAGACTAGAGCCTGACTGGACACTGCTCAGGTTGTCAGCTACAGAGAACCAAAACAGAGACGCTATCTTAGTATCGGTAACTCTTCCCATTACCCTCCTATCGTCACACACAAAAATGCATGACTGCAGTATCTGCAATATTGTCTCAATGAGAAGTGGGATGAATACATCTGGCCTAGATCAAGGAGGAGGACCAGTGTCAGCAGGCTTTTTTTCCCTCCAGCCCAGCTGGATCAGATATGTTAGTGCAGGAGTGGAGTAAAAGCCTGCAGAACCGCAGCCCTCTGAGACAGGAGTTAGAAACCCCTGGACTAGAAAGATAAGACAACATGCTGGTGTTTCTTACGGGTTGAAGATGAGCACTTGGAGGAGAAGGTGTCGCTGGAGATCTCCTCTCTGCTGAACACAGACTTGGGTCTGAGAGTCTGGTGACTGGGTTTCTTGGGCTTGGTCTTTGGGGTCTTGGGCTTGGCCGGGCTGCCGAGACCCTGCTCCTCCATCAGCTCCTGCTGTTTCCTCCTCAGGTACTGCTCCTTTATCAGCTCCCTACGGGCCTTCTCTTCCTCCTTCCTCATCCTGTCCTCCTCCGCCTTCCGCCTGGGGGGAGAGACAGACCACAGGCTCAACAACTGCTGCATTTGATTAGACAGAGTCACAATGTATTTAAAATGCATCTCAAGTCTCAACACACTTTACAGAGAAAATCGTAACACAGGACCTTATAACGCAGGACAGAAGAGGAATGCCGTTGCTCTTTTCTGCGTTTTTCGATTAGTCAATATTCAAGGCAAGTAGAACAAATACACAAACATTCTAAACTTGTGACTATTGTGGGAGGGGTTGTGTTGGTGTTGTTATGCTAGTGCTTGGACATGGTCTTATCCTACCTGAGCAGTATGTCTTGTCTAACAGACACAGTTTTGATTTGGTTGTAGAGACAATGTTCGTTACCTGGCCTCGTCCCGTTTCTGTTCCGTCTCAGCCTCCAGCTGCAGTTTGCGTAGCCGGGCCTCCTCAGCCTTCTTCTGCTGCCTTATTAGAAACGCTTCTCTCTTCTTAGCTAGTTCATCCTCTGCCTTCTGTTCATCCTGCAGCACAAAAAGTAACACTTGATCAATACTGGTATCAATTTCCTCAATTCAATTGAACACAACTTTATTTATACCAAACGATTGCCTGCTGTGTCTCCTCCCCCCGTCTCTTGCCCCTTTTCTACATTAGTAGCTAGTAAGAGGTACTTTCAGTAATGGAGAATTTCATACTATTCCTTCCAAGACAGATTTGTACAACTATAAAAATGTCATTTCTTCCCCTTTCCTGTTCGCTATGTCATTGAATGTTGTGCTTTTCATGTTATAATCAATAGACCTTCACCCACACATAAAATGACTGTCAAGTAGAACACATCTTGTCTATATATCCATAATGTAATAAGACTACATTTCAGATGTACCTTGAAGAAGAATCCCAGGCCAGACTTCTGTTCCCTGTCTTCCCCATCCATGGTGCTTTCCTGCCCCCTGTCTCCCTCCATCTCCTCTGGGTCCTTCAGGTCTGACAGGTCCACCTCGATCAGGGGGGCTTTGCTCCTCGACACTTCCTCCGAGGGGATGTTCTCCGTCCCCGAGCCGTCAGAGGAGTTCAGCTCCCCCTCCCTCAGAGTACTGGACAGGCACGGGTCAAAGGACATTTCTGGGGTGACGACCACTGGGTCGATACGGGCCGCCGTGCGCAGGTTAGCCTCGTCGTGGAGCCTGAAGGTGGCGCTATGTCCAGGCTTGTCCTGCCCACTGATTGTCTCTCCACCTGCAGAGGGGGTTCTGGGACTGGCGTCGGGGTGGTCCGTCCTGGGGGACCTGCCCCCAGGAAACTGCCTCAGGTGAGGCAGGGTCTCCAGACTGTGGGACGGGGTGATAGCCCTGTTTGAGGCCAGGACCGGCCTGCCTTGCTCCTTGGCCAGCTTCAGCTCTGAGGGCTTGGTCCTGGGGCCCCGGGCCGAACTCAGCTTGGGGGGTTTCCTGGATGGAGCGGTGCCGGTGGTTGGTGCGCAGCTGCCCAAATCCACAAAGTGGACGGCAGGTTGGGCCTTGGGTTCAGATGCGCTAGTCTTCTCGTTGGCTGAGCAGGGAGACAGGACCCTGGGAGGGGACTGTACATTCTGTTTCATCAGCAAGTCCTGCTGGAGGGACAGCTGCATCATCTGCTGCTGGATACTGCCGATAGCGTCATTCAGCATCTCGATGGATTGGTTACACTCGTTCAGGTCCAGCTCTTCATCCAGCAGCAGACCAGGACTACAGCTGCCCTTCCTGTCCACCATCTCTAAGGCACCTGGGACTGGCGAGGTGGCAGACTCAGGCTCTTTGGCCCCTCTCAGTGCATCCACGCAAGAGTCGTCTTTTGAACTTCCCCCTTTGTCCCCATTGAGCTCTTCTTTGCAGTAGTAGTCTGGTTTGAGCGGGTTGGGCAGGGTGTCGCTCTTGCCCTTCTTGACGATATGCAGAAAGGCAGCTTTGCCCAGCTTCTGTCTCTGCCTGGCTGACAGCATCTCCATCTTCTTCTTCTGGTGCTCAATGGCTTTCCTCTTCTCCTCCAGCTGCATGTGGAGCTGAACCAGCTCAGAAGCCAGCACTATGGTACCTCCGTTTCCCCGTCCCCCCTGGGGCGAGGAGGGGCTCTGGTCCCTATTCAGCCTCCGGGAGGTGGGCAGGGACAGGGGCCCACTGCACTCCGAGCCGTCCGGGGTGGTCCTTTGGGAGCTGGAGGCGCTGGTTCGCAGGTCTTGGTTGCTGCCAAAGCGCTGCTGGGCCTTCCGCTCAGCGAAGCTGGTCATGCGTACGCTGCCGCTGGCTAGGCTGCTGGCCTGGGAGTGGGTGCTGAGACAGGGGCTGGAGCGACCACTACCACCATCATCCCCTTTCTTCTTGTTCCTATTTTCCTTCACCTTCAGGTCCTCCTGCAGCTTGGCTGACTCTTCCTCCTCGTCAAAGGTCTTCCTGGGCCTGGTTGGGTCCTTGGTGGTGAGGGCTTCATCCAGGTCCTCCTCATCAGCCTCGCCCAGGTCTGGCTCCTGGTCCTGCCAAGGCTTCTGGTCGTCGCTGTCAGAGTGGAGGTAGAAGCCACCTGCTGGCTCTCTGGAGGAGGGGTCCACACTGCTGGTAACCATGGGATTGATGGCCCCCTGTCCCTGGAGTGGCCCAGCCAGTGAGGTCTCAGTAGACAAGTCAAACTCCCCACTAGAGGCGGGAGTGTAGGTCCGGTTTAGGCTGGTGGGGGTTTTCCTCCTGGCCGACGCCACAAGTTCAGGTCCCCCCTCTACTCTCCGGATAGACCCCCCTCCCCGAGATCGACCAACCTCCCCGCTCTCCTCCTCCTTGTTCAGGCATACAGACTTCTCTTTCGCCGATTTTAACACAGCAGGCATCAGCGGTTCTAAATAAGAACTATCCTTGGGCTCGGCCCCAGCAGTTGGCTGCGTCACCTCTCCCTGACTGGGGAGAGAGGCTGACGCGTCAGTCCTCATCACTGCCACAAGCTCCTCCTCCATGTTGACGTTTCCCAGAAGGCCGTGGCCATTGACTCGGCGGGGGGCGGGGCTGACTGGGGCGCGGCCTACCTGGGCGTGTCCGATCAGGGTGTGGCCCTGGGGGGTGAGACCCTGGTGTTTGGGGGTGAGGTTGACTACGCTAGAGGCCAGACTGTCTTTACTGATGGAGCGGCCCAGACTCACACTGTCACCAGAGGCAATGTCAGCGTCGCTGTCAGTTGCTGAGATGCCAAATGTGTACGGGTTGAGCGTCGACGTCGGCCTAGAGAGAAAGAGAGAAGGAGAAATGAAGACATTAGGCATGCGAGATGCACAACATTGGAAATCAAGAAGAAAAAGGCTACGGTCTGTTTTAACACATCTCTGAAACATACATTGATTGTATAACAGTTCATAGAGTAAAAATGGAATACAGTGTTATTCTCATACTACACCTCTGTCTCCTATCAGACCAGGCCTGCACTGAGCCTCGTGGCGGTTTGTTCTCCAAGGAGTTGGAGCGGTTTCTGATACCTAGACACACAGACACAACAATGATCATACAGCTACCTACAATACACAACAGAGAAGCCATCTCTGATATTGAGATGTGAGCTGTAATAATATTCCCCTATAATAAAAACCACACAACCATCAGAAATGGCTAAATGTAACTTGTGTAAGCTATGGATCGTTTTGAGAAGTCTTCTATAGTAAATGGTAACTGTGGTGTACATTTGACATTTTAGTCATTTAGCAGACGCTCTTATCCAGAGCGACTTACAGTTAGTGAGTGCATACATACTGCTGTTGTTCTGAGATAGACAGTAATATAACAGTGTTCTAGGTAATACTGCTGTTGTTCTGAGACAGTAATATAACAGTGTTCTATGTAATACTGCTGTTTGTTTCTAACAGACAGTAATATAACAGTGTTCTAGTAATACTGCTGTTGTTCTGAGACGACAGTAATATAACATGTTCTAGGTAGACTGCTGTGTTCTGAGACGACAGTAATATAACAGTGTTCTAGGTAATACTGCTGTTTGTTCTGAGACAGACAGTAATATAACATTGTTCTAGGTAGACTGCTGTTGTTCTGACCGAACAGTAAATATAACATGTGTGTCTAGGTAATACTGCTGTTTGTTCTGAGACGACAGTCATATCCAGTGTTCTAGGTAATACTGCTGTTGTTTCTGAGACAGACGTAATATAACAATGTTCTAGGTAACTGCTCTGTTTGTTCTGAGACAGACAGTCATATAACATTTCTAGGTAATACTGCTGTTGTTCTGAGACAGACAGTAATTAACAGTGTTCTAGGTAATACTTCTGTTGTTCTGAGACAGACAGTAATATAACAGTGTTCTAGGTAATACTGCTGTTGTTCTGAGACAGACAGTAATATAACAGTGTTCTAGGTAATACTGCTGTTGTTCTGAGACAGACAGTAATATAACAGTGTTCTAGGTAATACTGCTGTTGTTCTGAGACAGACAGTAATATAACAGTGTTCTAGGTAATACTGCTGTTGTTCTGAGACAGACAGTAATATAACAGTGTTCTAGGTAATACTGCTGTTGTTCTGAGACAGACAGTAATATAACAGTGTTCTAGGTAATACTGCTGTTGTTCTGAGACAGACAGTAATATAACAGTGTTCTAGGTAATACTGCTGTTGTTCTGAGACAGACAGTAATATAACAGTGTTCTAGGTAATACTGCTGTTGTTCTGAGACAGACAGTAATATAACAGTGTTCTAGGTAATACTGCTGTTGTTCTGAGACAGACAGTAATATAACAGTGTTCTAGGTAATACTGCTGTTGTTCTGAGACAGACAGTAATATAACAGTGTTCTAGGTAATACTGCTGTTGTTCTGAGACAGACAGTAATATAACAGTGTTCTAGGTAATACTGCTGTTGTTCTGAGACAGACAGTAATATAACAGTGTTCTAGGTAATACTGCTGTTGTTCTGAGACAGACAGTAATATAACAGTGTTCTAGGTAATACTGCTGTTGTTCTGAGACAGACAGTAATATAACAGTGTTCTAGGTAATACTGCTGTTGTTCTGAGACAGACAGTAATATAACAGTGTTCTAGGTAATACTGCTGTTGTTCTGAGACAGACAGTAATATAACAGTGTTCTAGGTAATACTGCTGTTGTTCTGAGACAGACAGTAATATAACAGTGTTCTAGGTAATACTGCTGTTGTTCTGAGACAGACAGTAATATAACAGTGTTCTAGGTAATACTGCTGTTGTTCTGAGACAGACAGTAATATAACAGTGTTCTAGGTAATACTGCTGTTGTTCTGAGACAGACAGTAATATAACAGTGTTCTAGGTAATACTGCTGTTGTTCTGAGACAGACAGTAATATAACAGTGTTCTAGGTAATACTGCTGTTGTTCTGAGACAGACAGTAATATAACAGTGTTCTAGGTAATACTGCTGTTGTTCTGAGACAGACAGTAATATAACAGTGTTCTAGGTAATACTGCTGTTGTTCTGAGACAGACAGTAATATACAGTGTTCTAGGTAATACTGCGTGTTCTAGGTAATACTGCTGTTGTTCTGAGACAGACAGTAATATAACAGTGTTCTAGGTAATACTGCTGTTGTTCTGAGACAGACAGTAATATAACAGTGTTCTAGGTAATACTGCTGTTGTTCTGAGACAGACAGTAATATAACAGTGTTCTAGGTAATACTGCTGTTGTTCTGAGACAGACAGTAATATAACAGTGTTCTAGGTAATACTGCTGTTGTTCTGAGACAGACAGTAATATAACAGTGTTCTAGGTAATACTGCTGTTGTTCTGAGACAGACAGTAATATAACAGTGTTCTATGTAATAAAGCTGTTGTTGGTGTAGTGTGGTGCCCTCACCTGATCCATCATCTCCCTGCTGTTGCTTCTGCTGTCTCTGCCTTAGGGGGAGGAGTGGGTGGGAGGGGCTGAAGGCTTCCCCAGGACCTCCCTTATTACTGAAAATAACCAAAACGGCACAAACCACTTAGATTACCTACCAAGTCCACAACAATCTTCTAGCAGTACCGTAGCAGTCAACATTCACAATCCATCTTTGCAGGATATATCTAAGCAGCAGATCAAATTCCAATTCAATATATTTTATCCAGGCTGTGTGAATCCATTCAGTAGTTCTTAACATATAATTTCTTGGCAAATGTAAATTAATTCAGAAGGTCTTAAGTACCAACACAGTTTTAGGGATAAGCCCCTCTTACACCTTTAGTAAAGCAGATTGACCCACATTTTCTAGAACATTATCGGTCTAGTCTTCTCACATAGGGAATCATGATTTTAAGAATCATAAGAAGGGCGAACTAAGCCACAGACATCCAGTCTTTTCTCCATAACCACCGACCCTACAGGTAAACAACCAGTCAGTTGACATTATGGCCTTTGCCCATCTGACCTATTGTCCCTTTAATCCAATCAGCTAATCTTTGACTGTCCCGCTGACCAACCAGCACACGATAAGCAATGGTCACTGAAATGGTGGTGATATTACAAAGCTATGAATTTATACGTTTTCTTCAAGGCTTTATTTATTGTGAAACATCAATGAATTGATATAAACACAGTGTAGGACAAAACAAAGGTATAAAAGAGGTGGGCTGGAAGCCAAGTGGGGAGAGATAACGGAGTATCAACAAAACTAGTATTTTTTGACAGATCTCTTCATCCCTGTCAAGCTAACTAGGAGAGAAACAAACAGGTTGATGAAATGAGAAGGGTGGGTGGACAGAAGGAAGGAAGGAGAAACTTACAGAGGGTCAGAGTCTTCAGCAGGGTACAGGACGTACCTGCCATCAGGGCTGCTCTGGGCAGAAACAGACAGCGAGGCCTCTGGGACGCCAGGGGTAACCTGGAAGCTGCGCTTGGTGGCGTTGGAGATGGGCACTGAGGGGCGGGCACTCTTCGGCTGAGCCATGGCTCGGGCTGTTGTGAGAGAAGAGAAGAGGTGTCAATCAAAACAGAGGTGGGTGGGTGGAGAATCTGAGAATAATGTAACTAGTGTACTTGTAATTTCTAGTGAAGTTCAGACAAAATAAATGATAATCAGCTAACTGTAAACATCTCCATATATTAGTAGTGGTTCCCAGCTCCAGTCCTCCAGTACCCCCTACAGAACACATTGTGTTGTAGCCCCAGACAAACTCCCCTGATTCAACTCATTGAGGGCTTGATGATTAGTTGACAAGTTGAATCAGGTGTGCTTGTCCGGGCTACAATAAAAATGTGTACTGTTGTGGGTACTTGAGGACCGGAGTTGGGAACCACTACAGTCGTGGTCAAATGTTTTGAGAATGTGAAGACCTTCAAAGTTGGCTGCTTCAGTGTTATGAGATATTTTTGTCAGATGTTACTATGGTATACTGAAGTATAATTACAAGCATTCCATGAGTGTCAAAGGCTTTATTGACAATTACATTACGTTTATGCAAAGAGTCAATATTTGCAGTGTTGACCCTTCTTTTTCAAGACCTCTGCAATCCGCCCTGGCATGCTGTCAATTAACTTCTGGGCCACATCCTGACTGATGGTAGCCCATTCTTGCATAATCAATGCTTGGAGTTTGTCAGAATTTGTGGGTTTTTGTTTGTCCACCCGCCTCTTGAGGATCGACCACAAGTTCTCAATGGGATTAAGGTCTGGGGAGTTTCCTGGCCATCGACTCAAAATGTCGATGTTTTATTCCCCGAGCCACTTAGTTATCACTTTTGCCTTACGGCAAGGTGCGCCATCATGCTGGAAAAGGCATTGGTCGTCACCAAACTGTTCTTGGATGGTTGGGAGAAGTTGCTCTCGGAGGATGTCTTGGTACCATTCTTTATTTATGGCTGTGTTCTTAGGCAAAATTGTGAGTGAGACCACTCCCTTGGCTGAGAAGCAACCCCACACATGAATGTCTCAGGATGCTTTACTGTTGGCATGACACAGGACTGATGGTAGCGCTCACCTTGTCTTCTCCGGACAAGGTGTTTTCCGGATACCCCAAACAATCGGAAAGGGGATTCAGAGAAAATTACTTTACCCCAGTCCTCAGCAGTCCAATCCCTGTACCTTTTGCAGAATATCAGTCTGTCCCTGATGTTTTTCCTGGAGAGAAGTGGCTTCTTTGCTGCCCTTCTTGACACCAGGCCATCCTCCAAAAGTGTTCGCCTCACTGTGCGTGCAAATGCACTCAAACCTGCCTGCTGCCATTCCTGAGCAAACTCTGCACTGGTGGTGCCCCGATCCCGCAGCTGATTCAACTTTAGGAGACGGTCCTGGCACTTGCTGGACTTTCTTGGGCGCCCTGACGCCTTCTTCACAACAATTGAACCTCTCTCCTTGAAGTTCTTGTTGATCCGATAAATGGTTGATTTAGGTGCAATATCCTTTCCTGTGAAGCCCTTTTTGTGCAAAGCAATGATGATGGTACGTGTTTCCTTGCAGGTAACCATGGTTAACAGAGGAAGAACAATGATTTCAAGCACCACCCTCCTTTTAAAGCTTCCAGTCTGTTATTCTAACTCAATCAGCATGACAGAGTGATCTCCAGCCTTGTCCTCGTCAACACTCTCACCTGTGTTAACGAGAGAATCACTGACATGATGGCAGCTGGTCATTTTGTGGCAGGGCTGAAATGCAGTGGAAATGTTTTTGGGGGATTAAGTTCATTTTAATGGCAAAGAGGGACTTTGCAATTAATTGCAATTCATCTGATCACTCTTCATGACATTCTTGAGTATATGCAAATTGCCATCATAAAAACTGAGGCAGCAGACTTTATGAAAATTAGTATTTGTGTCATTCTCAAAACTTTTGACCACAATTGTATATTAGAGTACTGTTGAAATTGCATGGGGATCATTTACAAATTTGCATTGAAATGTCTCTCGGCTCCAGCCCTAGGAGAACAGTCCTCTGAGAAGGAAGGAAAATAAAAAAGACAGTTGAACCTCTTCGTGTCCTATAAGGAAGAAGTCATAATGTACTCCTTTTCCCTGTCCTGCAGGTTCAACAGATTTGTTGATCCATCCAGAAGGCTGCAAACCTCTCTGCTCATCCAAAAAAAAAAAAAAAACATACTGAACATCCCATTCAGACCACAACACACCCATAGAGATGATCCTCACCATCTTTGAAGTCCTCCGTCCTGGGTTGGACAAACTCTGGCTTGACGGTCTCAAACCACCAGAAGAGCTCAGCGATGAACACCATCACATTGTGCTGAGTAGGGAAAACAAGAACCACATTAGAGAAACCCTGAACTACAACGACATACAACTATAGCATGCAACATGTTACCAAAACAATAAATTAAAATATCATCAATGAAGTGCTTCCGTAGAAACACAGAAAAATAACTATATCCTCAAAAGAACAATGACATGGAAAACCAGCTACAGTGACAGGGAAAACCAGCTACAGTGACAGGGAAAACCAGCTACAGTGACAGGGAAAACCAGCTACAGTGACAGGGAAAACCACCTACAGTGTAAAAAACATACCAATAGGACTTATTTACCTTGAGCACCAGTGGAGAGTAGAGCATGTCTTCCATGGTTAGGTAGAAGCTCTTGTTGAGATATTCATTTGAGAACTGCTTGAGCAGCTGGATGTTGTACAGACTGTCAGCTATGGAGGTCACCTCCTTCAGACAGATATCTGATAGAGACACAGAGGTCAAAGGTCAGGATGGTGCTCAATGACCTGACATTTAGAAATGTCACATAGGAATGAGCACGTGAGAGTGCAACCCTCCTTGGCACTGTCAGGGCACAACGCACAGATATAATGTCCACAACATAGAACTTCTGGAGTAAGGCTAATGGGCCATTTCAATTACAAAACAGGTGAAATATATGATATTCCTGATGGTTTGAGGTCAGACAAATCTGGGATTCCTGACTAATCAGGGAGAAAAACAAAACAAATCTCTCTCAATAGGATAGATTCAATATCTAATGATTAACCCCCAGTTTGTTGATGACAGATGGTGTCCCATGTCGTACCGTGGAGCTTCATGAGGTCGGGGCAGTAATAGTGGACCACGATGAGGAGGGCGGCTCCGTCACACACGTCCCTCATCAGATCCTCCAGCAGGGGGAAGAAGGGCAGCTGGCGGCACAAGGCGTTCTCCCTGCGGTACCTCACCTGACCACCAGGGGGAGGGAGAGAGTCAGAGAGGAATACAAAGAGATAGGGCTGGTTTATTAGGCTCCATCCAGGGGGGAACGACTGCCCCCTCTCACTTAACCCACGAAGTTCAAGGCCGACCATGGTACTGTAGACACTGTTTGCAGAAAACATGATCCCCAATTATAAATGAAAGGGAAAACGGTAATCTTCGTGGACAATCTTCATGTAAATAAAAACAAATTTCAAAGACAATCATGGAACCAATAATGACTTCTATTACACCAGATGTATGTCCTTGAACCGATTATAAAAAACAGAAGAAGTTAAGGATAATTTAGTTGCTAATGACAGCCTGCAGTACCCCGGTCAGACTTCAACTTGAGATACTCAATGACAGGGGGAAGCACTGAGCTAGCCAGCAACGTCACTTCCTGGGGTAGCTCAAACTGCGCACGCATGTTATTTCTACATAAATCCTCCATATGATACGCCATCTTAACAGACTTCCTTGAAATGTGTCATGTGATCCATGGCTTTGTCCAGTCATATACAGTTGAAGTCGGAAGTTTACATACACTTAGGTTGGAGTCATTAAAACTAGTTTTTCAACCACTCCACAAATTTCTTGTTAACAAACTAGTTTTGGCAAGTCAGTTAGGACATCTACTTTGTGCATGACACAAGTAATTTTTCTAACAATTGTTTACAGACAGATTATTTCACTTATAATTCACTGTATCACAATTCCAGTGGGTCACTAAGTTGACTGTGCCTTTAAACAGCTTGGAAAATTCCAAGAAAATGATGTCATGGCTTTAGAAGCTTCTGATAGGCTAATTGACATCATTTGAGTCAATTGGAGGTGTACCTGTGGATTTATTTCAAGGCCTACCTTCAAACTCAGTGCCTCTTTGCTTGACATCATGGGAAAATCAAAAGAAATCAACCAAGACCTCAGAAAAAGAATTGTAGACCTCCACAAGTCTGGTTCATCCTTGGGAGCAATTACCAAACACCTGAAGGTACCGCGTTCATCTGTACAAACAATAGTACGCAAGTGTGGACACCATGGGACCACGCAGCCGTCATACCGCTTTGGTGCGAAAAGTGCAAATCAATCCCAGAAAAACAACAAGGGACCTTGTGAAGATGCTGGAGGAAACAGGTACAAAAGTATCTATATCCACAGTAAAACGAGTCCTATATCGACATAACCTGAAAGGCCGCTCAGCAAGGAAGAAGCCACTGCTCCAAAACCGCCATAAAAAAGTCAGACTACGGTTTGCAACTGCACATGGGGACAAATATCGTACTTTTTGGAGAAATGTCCTCTGGTCTGATGAAACAAAAATAGAACTGTTTGGCCATAATGACCATCGTTATATTTGGAGGAAAAAGGGGAAAGCTTGCAAGCCGAAGAACACCATCCCAACCGTGAAGCACAGGGGGTGGCAGCATCATGCTGTGGGGGTGCTTTGCTGCAGGAGGGACTGGTGCACTTCACAAAATAGATGGCATCATGAGGAAGGAAAATTATGTGGATATATTGAAGCAACATCTCAAGACATCAGTCAGGAAGTTAAAGATTGGTCGTAAATGGGTCTTCCAAATGGACAATGACCCCAAGCATACTTGTTGTGGCAAAATGGCTTAAGGACAACAAAGTCAAGGTATTGGAGTGGCCATCACAAAGCCCTGACCTCAATCCTATAGAAAATGTGTGGGAAGAACTGAAAAAGCATTTGCGAGCAAGGAGGCCTACAAACCTGACTCAGTTACACCAGCTCTGTCAGGAGGAATGGGCCAAAATTCACCCAACTTATTGTGGGAAGCTTGTGGAAGGCTACCCTAAACGTTTGACCCAAGTTAAACAATTTAAAGGCAATGCTACCAAATACCAATTGAGTGTATGTAAACTTCTGACCCACTGGGAATGTGATGAAAGAAATAAAAGCTGAAAGAAATCATTCTCTCTACTATTATTCTGACATTTCACATTCTTAAAATAAAGTGGTGATCCTAACTGACCTAAGAGAGGGAATTTTTACTAGGATTAAATGTCAGGAATTGTGAAAAACTAAGTTTAAAATGTATTTTGCTAAGGGGTATGTAAACTTCCGACTTCAACTGTACACAGTCATTGCCTACATCGTACAGCCTAGTGTTTATACAGTGGAAGGCAAAGTTTAGGATGAAAATGGCATGACTAGAGCAGACATGACGCCCTGGTGAACAACACAGAGAATCATTTCAGGTCTAGATAATGAATTTATATCTGAATTAATTCAGTGGCATTCCCTGAATAAGCCCCAGTCTGTGTTTGGGTGGATCGAGATGGGTGGAGTGGGGTGGGGTGGTCCTTTATAGCAGGGATTCCCAAACCTTTTGGGGGCCAGAGAACCCATTTGTGATAGCAAATTCATTAGGGACCCCCTCCTAATCAGAACACAACTGGAGTGAGATAAATATAGCATACAAGAGTCTACTATGTCTCGGCCCTGGGAAGGAACAATTTAAATCTCTTGGCATCAGAGAGAAAATGTTGCAGTTTTCAAGCCAATATCCTGTAAGTTTGCCATGAGGCAGTTTTAAAGCTTAAATTACAGTGCATTTGTTTTATAAAAATAATTTTGGGGGAATACAAGTATTGAGTTGAAAAATGTATAATTGGTGGAGTTCTGTGGATACCAATATCCCTGTGAGCCTCCCAGGACCATGTTGCCCAAGGTTAAGAACATAAATTGTATATGAATAATATTACAATTGTATTGTATAACACCTGCTAAACTTATTCCACAGATCACTTGAACAAAATGTGTTTAATCTGTTAGTAATATTAATAAACACATTTTGTTGTTTGTTGATCTGGCCACGGACCCCCTGCAGACCCCACTTTGAGAAACCCTGCTTTATAGAGCGGTGATATGGAGCCATGGTTGGCCTGACAGCCACCCACCCTCACACACCTCTCTGGGAATGCTGTGTCACTGTCAGCACAGTCAAACCAGGCCACTGGCACAGAGGGAGGGACACATGGGAATCACTGGCCCACTTCTGCTGGCTAACGGTGTTGTGGAAAACCCCCCGGAGTCAGCCTATTGAGTTGACACTGCTGTAGTCTACTGGCCAGGCAAGTACAATTCTTATGGCTCTAGCTGAACCATACTGAACATTTACTGCAACAACTAACCATGGTACAACACACACTGTCTGCAATCTGACTACACATCTTTAGGGCATAATAAGGATAATTCTACAAGGGTAACTACCATAATACAACACACCTCGAATACTATTCTGACACCATTATGCTAATTCTACAAGGGTAACTACCGTCACAGGTGAAATAATCTGGAGAACAACTAGACAACCACAGGACTAAAGGTTTCACATCCATCCTACAGCAGCCCTAGAAGAAGGGAGAGGTACTGCTGGAACCGTACCACTATGGAGCGCTCCAGCTCCTCTGGCTCCAGCATGCATTGGGCCAAGGCGGGCATTAAATCAGACTGAGACACACACACACAGACAGCAGAGTGTAAGAAGGAAACCTTGGGCAAGTAGAGACACCGTGAGAGGCCAGGGAGAGAGCACATGGGCATAGCAGACAGAGACAGCATAGGAGGGGTGGGCATGGCAGAGTTTGTGGGCACAGGTGGCAATGGCGCCAACATCTCAGCACGAGCCAATAAGGAAAGCAGGGGCTGAGCAATGGATTCATGGCTCTCTCGCTCTCACCCAGACACCACTTCACACACTGTCACTCTCTCAGACACAAACACACCATCTATCATGATTGTACATAGTCTGCAGGGGCTTGAAATGAAAGGGCGAAAACGTAGTTCACCAAAATAAAGTTCACCATCCAATAAAAAAAGTTCACCAAATTACCAAAACCACCGGACAACAACAGTGTGACATTCTTAACTCAAAGAAAAACACAAAGATACCAGCCTTCTCCCACTGGCTGGCTGACTCACTAGCTACAAGCAGCACAGAATGGGCTTGGATGAGCCACGATGGTCACGTGTGGTGTGGTGTGGTGTGGTGTGCAAATCGACACAGAACTATGCGTGCAAGAGGGAGGAGGGGGGATTACTAGCAGCCAACTTACAGGTACAAGTTTCCAATACCATTTGGAGGGAGACTATCCAAGTAGCAGGGAAGGGAGGGGGACAGACAGAAAGAAAGAAGAATAGGAGCAAAAAGGTCAATAGGTCAGAGGTCACAGACAGGATTGGATCTGCTTCCGGGTTAAGGGTTAGGAGAAAAGGGTCAATCAGGGTTCAACCCCAAATGGCAGGAGATAAAGAACTCTTGACTTGGACCACGTCTCTCCTGAAAAACAGATGTAATCTCCATGAGACTAATCTAACTAATAAGTACAAATCGGTTTTAAAACGGCAATTATTCTTGCAATGTGTCCTGGAGGCATGGACTGCAGTCCAGAGACTGTTGATGCATCGAGAACAGCAATCGCCCGTAAGGATGCATCAAAACAGCTCCATGGGAGCCATTTTGGCTCTAGCGCTTCAGTTTCCTGGTTCTCTCTCTGTGGGAGTGCCATGAGAGACGTGCGGCTCCAGCCTTACCTTCTGATGACTGGGAGACTCCAGCGGGTGCTGCTTGGCTTTCAGCTCTCTCTCTGTGATCTCCCTCATCTTCAGGTTAACCTGCAACAAAAGCCAAAGCAACATTCATCCAGCTCTTTAGAGCTCTATTTTCTCAATGTCTCAGGCTCATTGCTGCTGATAGACAGTCTCAAAGAAAGAGAGAATGTGTGTGTTCCCCACCATACCTTGTTGATCCAGAAGACCATGGCATCCTCCAGGTCAAAGGGCAGCTCCTTGGAGGCGCTGAAGGTGGAGAAGCGTTTGACACTGGCCACAACTTTCTCTATGCTGATCATCTCCACAGTGTAGGCCATCATCAGGGCATCGATCATGGGCATGTGGGCACTCTGGAGGAGGGATGAGAGGGCCCAGATTAGGTCAGAAAACAAAGACACACAAACGCTGTAAAGGTAGGTCATCGTGGGGGCATACAGTAGGTCTAGTTCAGGGTAGAAAACACCATGGTATTGATCAATCATGGGATAGGTCTAGTTCAGAAAACACCAATTGATCAATCATGGGTATGTTGTTCCTGTGTGGTGGCAGGTCTAGCCAGAACAACAATCACGTTATGCCAAAATCAGGGCATCGACTATGGGCACAGGACACTGTGTGAGGGGAGAGAGCAGGTCACAAAACAATCCCAATCTACAGTTGAACATCAGGGCATCGATCATGGGCATGTGGGCATTCGGGATGGGTGGGTAGAGGGGGCAGAGGCACAGCTGGGGTATGTAGGCATGAGGACATGATGCCCACAGAACAGTCTAAGGGATGATTGGACTGGACAATCCTCAGGGTATTAAAACAATAACCTGCCATGTCGGCGTTGCCTCTTCGTCTCCTGATCCAGCCAGCACACTGACAAGTCACTCTGATGTACTACAGATTATCCTTATCCAATAGAAAGACAGAGGGAGGAATCCCCCTCACCATAACATTGGAGCTCTGTCCAAGCAATCAGCCTTAATACCTCACCCAGGGGGACAGAGATGACATACATTAGGGCCTACAACACAGAATGATCTCAATCACTGTTTGGAAAAAAGACTGAGGGTGTAGTGGTGTAGGATAGGCTAGAAGCTTATCAGATACGTTTCTTGGCCTTTTATAAACACATTTCATGCAATTCTACTACACTTTATATGACTGGAGACATTAGCAGAATCTTTTTTAATACGACAAAAATGACAGGGTAGCCTACTCTGGTGACACTGACAAACAGAGCGTTAAAAACGACGTTGTCTGATCCATATAATAGGCCTACTAGAAGGGAGACAACTAGCCTACAATATGACATCCATCTAACCATGAGGAAGAAATTATTGTCCAAAAACGAACTTTCAAGTGGCACGGACCCAACAATGATAGAGTGAACACTCACCGGGGATATGGCCGATGCTCTCCGCTGATGCCAATAGGAACTTCATTGATTGAACAGTATAGCCTGAGAATTTTGATAACTATAAAAGACAGATTAGAGTCTTTTCATCGTCTTCTCTTTAAAGCAATAGCCATTTGCTTTCCTAACTATTATGAAATATAACTCAATCATCGATGCTGTATTTGTCACGTGCGCTGTGCAAATTGCAGTCCCTTCCTACTATAGGCAATGTGATTTAAAACAATCCACTGGTATTTATTTATTTTATTACCCCTTTTTTCTCCCCAATTTCATGATATCCAATTGGTAGTTACAGTCTTGTCCCATCGCTTCAACTCCCGTACGGACTCGGGAGAGCTGAAGGTCGAGAGCCACGCGTCCTCTGAAACACGACCCGCCAAGCCGCACTGCTTCTTGACACACTGCTCGCTTAACCCAGGAGCCAGCCGCACCAATGTCTTAACCCGGAAGCCAGCCGCACCAATGTCTTAACCCGGAAGCCAGCCGCACCAATGTCTTAACCCGGAAGCCAGCCGCACCAATGTGTCGGAGGAAACGCCGTACAGCTGGTGACCTGAAGTCAGCATGCATGCGCCCGGCTGCCACAAGGAGTCGCTAGAGAGCGATGGGGCAAGGACATACCAAACGGCCAAACCCTCCCTTAACGCTGGGCCAAATTCCAACCCGGATCTGTAGTGACGCCTCTAGCACTGCGATGCAATGCCTTAGACCGCTGAGCCACTCGGGAGGCCCAGCTTCTTCTTTTTTTTAAGAAGCTAATGAACCTCTGTGGCCAAACCACGCTTTCTATTTTGAATGATTGTATTTACCGTATTTTCCGCACTATAAGGCGCACCGGAGTATAAGCCGCAGCAGCTAAATTGAATGATATTGAATGATGTGTACATATATAAGCCGCACTGGACTATAAGCCGCAGGTGTTTTAATGTTTAATTACCATATGTAAGGGTTCGTGCACAGAGGGGATTGTCGGGAAAGAGATGGCTGCTTGAGGAAGCTCCCATTTATTAACATTTCAACAAACAAGTTGCATATTTGCATAACGTATTCAAGTGTTACCATTTAGTGCAATAGTAGCTACAGAACATATACTGTGCTGTGTAAACTGTACTGTATCACATAGAGTTTCAGACACAAACTTTTCAACTTTCAAACTTAAACGGTGCGCTCCCAGCGCACATACCGGCAGTGATCTACAGCAGTGGTTTTCAACCTGTGGTCCTTGAGGGAGTGCTAGGGGTTCCCCAGCAAAATTAGTTAATAGCGTCACAATCATTTAACCACTTAACTTTGATTATTTTTGAAAAACCTTGAAAAAGTGTGCACATCTTTGATTATTTATCTACATTATAGCCTACAGTAGTACCATAACAAAAAACAAAGCTTACAGCGCTTGACGAGGCAATATCAATGGCTAAATTAAATGTGTTTTTTTTAAAGTGCAAAATAAAGTGCCTGTAACACGACAGTAAGCGCGTAAGCCTAAAGTTGCAGCAACACGGCTGCTTAAAATATACGGTAATCAGCCTACCAGAAAAGTCATTAATCCTCGTCTTCATCTTTTAGGCTAAGGTGCAGTACACGGCTGTAACCAGAAAAGTCAAGTCATTAATCCTCATCTCCGTCTTCTTCCTGCGTACTAAAACCACCAAAGTCCTCATCTTCAGTGTCGGAAACGAACAGGCTCAGGGTGGCTTCGTCAGCCACTCTCCTCTCTCCTTCGTTGTCGCTCTCAAAACCAACGAACTCCTCTTCGTCACTGTCGGAATCGAACAGCCTCTGAAGGGCCTCAGCTGTGGCGGCGTCCTCCTCTTCATCACGCAGCAGTCCAGCCTTTCGGAACCCGTTAATGATCGTGGATGTTTTGACAGCCAGATTGACTGCCTTTAACTTAAAAGCTGCATCATATGCATTTCTACGTTTGTTTTCCATAATGAGGGTTTGTGTATGAAAACTTCCTTTGCACAAACTGTCTCGCTCTCGTAATGTCTGTCTGTCTTGCTCTCGTACCACTCTCGGTTCCACTTTTACTTTTGCGCGCAACCTGTCTCACTCTTTTCCGGCCTCCAGCTTTTCTTGCTGGAGCCCGCCGCTTAAAGGTGGGGGGCGCGGACCGGTCATAGAGCCCATAGAGTTAAAGTTGGTGGACTGTAACCTGTAAAATCCATAGATTTAGGAGGTCTTCTAGTGGCCGTTAGCTGTAAAAATCCATAGATTAGCCGCACCGTTATATAAGCCGCAGGGTCGAAAAATTGGAAAAAAGGCGCGGCTTATAGTCCGAAAATTACGGTATTTCTGTATAGACAGGAGTAGGTTAATTAGGCTATATCATTTTGGCAATTTAATTAAATGTACTATGTCTGTAGCGCACTTGTGATGGAGTTTTCAAAACAAATGGCCACTGGATTGACTCAAATAATAATGATTTTGCCAGGTAGGCTTAGGGTACTTTCTACGTACCTTTTAATTGCCTTTCCATCTACCCAAAGAAGGTTATGCTATTATTAGACAGACCGGCCCTAAGCGCACTGCAGACAGGACAGACCGGGGCATTCCCATGCCGTTGTTTCCTCTTCAGAATGGTTTATCTTTGGTTAATTACACATTACTGTTTGAATAAATCATGATATTTATTTTTTTAAAGCAAATTGTGAACCAAAAACAAACATGGACTAGGTAAAAAAAGAAAATCACTGGCACTCTTTTAGCAGTGAATACTGGTACTCAATAAGGCCCAGTTTTGAGGCCCAGTCATATCTATCGCTCTGTGTAGAGCTCAACTTAAAGCGTAATGCCTTGAAGCAGGAGCAGAGAGGAAGAGGTAAAGAGAGAGGCCTAACTCCAGAAGAAAATCTGTATCCCTAAAGCAGGTGGCGGTTTTTTTCACCCACCAAGCAAGGAGTTTTGTATGGAGGTCAATGAGTGTCAAATTTGGTCAACAGAAAAATGAAAAGCTTATTTGCTACGTGAGGTTTATTTGATCTAATAGAAGTTTTGTAATGCTTAGGTTATTAACTGAGAAAAAACCCTATATTGGAGTTGTCTGGAGATGGCTATGCGCATTTATGGCAAGGAGGCTAGTAGCATAGCATCTCTCCATTGAATACATGCGGTTGACGTCAACAATCCTCATAGAACATTCAAAAAGTATTTAAATAATGAGATATATTCACCAATCCAAAGAAAGGATATGGGGGAGGCTAGACAGCCTGCCATGCGGCTTTGTGGACAATGACTCCCATTATTAGGGTGGAGAGACAAGTAACTCGTCAGCATATCCATAATCTTTGGCAGGAGTGAGTATAATTCCCTGAAATGTGACCTATGCATCTAGGTGTGCCATGGAGTTAAAGCACAGTACACCCTAGCCTAGCCAGTTAGAGCATGCCTGACCCAAAACACACTTTGCTGCACACACACAGCTCTAATCCTACTGAGGGAAATGGAGGACAGATCCTGATTAGCTCACAATAGGAAAGGAGAACAGCTATTCAGAGCCCTCAGTGATCGGCCCCAACAATGTTACACAAGCATTGCTCAATGCTCAGCCTCAGATCCCTACTCTAATGAGGCATAAGCTAGACACGCCGCTGTACATGCACCCTTCAACCTACCCACTAGCAAAAACAGGACGCTGTACATGCACCCTTCCACCTACCCACTAGCAAAAACAGGACGCTGTACATGCACCCTTCCACCTACCCACTAGCTAGATGTAGACTATTTCAAAAACAGGACGCTGTATCTCTTAAGTCAAAGAAGAGCGAGTTAAAAAGATAAAAGAAAACAGCCTGACTGATGTGCTTGAGTTAGGACACCATGAATAGGCCAGAAACACACACAGACACACACCCTTTGCTTTCCCTTCACCAAACGTGTCAGAGAGAAACCCAGGAGAGTATGGGTGGACTACTGTTATATTGCCCCAAGCCGTCTCTCAAG